TTGTACAAGACTGTTGAATCTCAGATCTGTACCTCTGAAACAAATAATGCAATATATGTTAAGAAAAAAAGAAGAAGAAGAAGAAGGTAGCAGGAGGGGAAGAATGAAGGGGGGGAAATCAGAGGGGTAGACAAACCATGAGAGACGATGGACTCTGAAAAACAAACTGAGGGTTCTAGAGGGGAGGGAGGTGGGAGGATGGGTTAGCCTGGTGATGGGTATTGAGGAGGGCACATTCTGCATGGAGCACTGGGTGTTATGCACAAACAATGAATCATGGAACACTACATCTAAAACTAATGATGTAATGTATGGGGATTAACATAAGAATAAAAAAATTAAAAAAAAAGCCACACATAAAAAAAAAATAGGGGAGAAATAAATCCAGGCATACTAGCAATAGCAGTTAAATGGAGTGAACCTTCAAATAAGAAAAAATAAATTCTCAGATAATATATTGTAGTGGTTACCAAACATGTCTGAACATTTGAACAACCTAAGGAGCTTCATAAAATAATATTTGTGTCCCATGCCCAGAGATTGTGATTTAATTGATCTGAAGTGTGGCCAGGGATCTGGAATTTTTAAAAGAACCCAGCTATGCATACAAATTTGGAAATCATTTCCATTTTTTTTTTCAAAGTGGTTATGTCAATTAATATTGCCATCAGAAAGGTATGGAGCACTTAAAAAAAAACAAAACAGGAGCACCTGGGTGGCTCAGTCATTAAGCGTCTGCCTTCGGCTCAGGTCATGATCCCAGGGTCCTGGGATCGAGTCCCGCATCGGGCTCCCTGCTCGGCGGGAAGCCTGCTTCTCCCTCTCCCTCTCCCCCTGCTTGTGTACCCTCTCTCACTGTGTCTCTCTCTGTCAAAATAAATAAAATCTTTAAAAAAAAAAAAACAGATCTGTTAAAATATAATTCACATACCTATAGTTCATTCATTTAAAGTATACAATTCAATGAGTTGTAGGATACTCACAAAATTCTGCAACAATCACCACAATCTAATTTTATATTTTTATCACCTCAAAAAAAACCCCTATACCTATTAGTAGTCATTTCCAATTTCCCTGCTCTCATTCTCCATTCACCTTCACCTCCCACCCCAAATGTACTTAGCAACCACTAATCTACTTTATCTATCTATAGATCATCTATTGTAGACATTTCATAAAAATGGAATCATGTAATAGTCTTTGTATCTGGCTTCTTTCAGTTAGCATGTTTTCAAGGTTAATCCATGTTGTAGCATGTATCAGTACTGCTTTTTTTTTTTTTTAAGATTTTATTTATTTATTTGCCAGAGAGAGAGATAGCGACAGCAGGAACACAAGCAGGGGGAGTGGGAGAGGGAGAAGCAGGCTTCCCACTGAGCGGGGAGCCCAATGCGGGGCTCGATCCCAGGACCCTGGGACCATGACCTGAGCCGAAGGCAGACGCTTAACGACTGAGCCACCCAGGCGCCCCGAGTACTGCTTTTTATTGCTGAATAATATTCTATCTTAAGGATAAACCAAATTTTATTTATCCTTTCATCAGTTGGTGGACATTTGGGTTATTTCCACATTTTGGCTACTGTATTGCTAAATAATTATCCATTGTAAAATTATACCAAATTTTATTCACTCATTCATCAGTCAACAGACATTTGGGTCATTTTCACTTTCTGGCTATTGTGAAAATGAAGTATATAGAACTTCTGCCACCAAAAGTTGTAAACACTTGGTACTACCACTTAGTTTTTGCCCCTCCAGGGGATGTGAAATAATTATCTCACTGTGATTTTAATTTGTATTTACTGATTGCTAATGAGGTTGAGCATTTTTTCATGTCTATTGGTTATCTGTATTTCCTTTTTTTTAACATAGTGATATTAATCCTTTATCAGATGTATCACTTGTAAATACCGTCTCCCATTCAGTAGGTTGTCTTCTCATGTTGTTCATGGGTTTCCTTTGGCGTACAAAAGGTTTTTATTTTGATGTAGTTCCAATAGTTTATTTTTGCTTTTGCATCTCTTGCCTGAGAAGACATATCCATAAATATGTTGGTAAGAGTGATGTCCAAGAGATTATTGCCTATTCTTTTAGTTTTATGATTTCAGGCCTCACCTTTAGGTCTTAACCCATTTTGAGTTTATTTTTGTGTATGGTGTAAGAAAGTGGTGTAGTTTTCATTCTTTTGCATGTAGCTGTCCAGTTTTTCCAGAACCATTTATTCAAAAGACTCTCTTTTCCCCAATTGGATATTCTTGCTGTCTTTGCTGTAGATTAATTAATGATATATGTATGGGTTTATTTCTGGGATCTCTGTTCCATTGATCTATGTGTCTATTTTGTGCCAGTACATACTGTTTTGTTTACTACAGTTTTGTAGTAGATCTTGAAATCTGAAATTGTTGTACCTCCAGCTTTGTTCTTTCTCAAGATTCTGTTGGCTATTCAGGGTCTTTTGTGATTCCATACAAATTTTAGGACTGTTTTAGTATTGTGAAAAATACTATTGGTATTTTGTTAGGTATTGCACTGAATCTGTGGTTTGCTTTGGGTAGTGTGGACATTTTAACAATTATTAATTTTTCCAAGCCATGAGCAGGGAATATCCTTCCATTTGTGTTGTCTTGAATTTCTTACATCAATGTTTTATAGTTCTCAGAGCATAAGTCGTTCACTTCCTTGATTTATTTATTTCCTTTTCCTGAATTGCCTATGTCTTTTACCCAAGTTTTCAAAAAAAGTATTTACCTTTTTCTCAATCTATAAAAGCTTTTATATCCTAGGTATTAATTTTACTATTATCAATATGAATTGCAAATATCTTCACCCAATGTCTTTTACTTTCTTCATGTCTTTTAATAAAGAAAACAATTTTCATGCAAATTTATCAATCTATTAATGATCATTTTTAAAAAAGATCTAACCAGAACCTTTAGAAATGTTCTATCTGGTTCTCTTTCATATCAGATCCTTTATGAAAATCTCTTACTTTTTGTCATTTTTGTAATTTCGCTTTTTTCTTTAAACATTTCACCAACATTTTACATTTATATCTAATACCAATATGTGAAATCATTCGCCATGTAATCTGTTGTTTCTTTAGATTATCTATCACTCACCTATGACCTGTTTCCTTGTAGGTTTGATGATCTTTGTGCCCTCCTCTTTTCTTGACCTTAATTTTTGAGAATTCTAAAGCCCTCTTACTTCCCTTTAGAAAGGATGTACATTTTCTTTGGCCAGAAGTCAGAGGGCACCACCTCAAAAAATAAAATAAAATGTGGACTCCTTTTCTTGAGTTGCTTAACTATATTTACTTTTTATTAGTCTATCATTCACTCTTCTTTAATTATGCTTTTCTGTTCCTCCTAAGTTAACACCACCCAAGCCCTTTCACTTACTACTCCATCTGCCTGGAATACTGTTCCCCCATAGACTGCCTGACTCATACCCTTACATCAGTCAAGACTTCGCTCAAATATTACCTCCTTAGAGAAGTTTTTGAAAATCTTCCTATCTAGGGGCCCGTGGGTGGCTCAGTTGGTTAAGCATCTGACTCTTGATTTCAGCTCAGGTCATGATCTCAGGGTTGTGAGACTGAGCCCCGCATCAGGCTCCACACTCAGAAAGGAGTCTGCTTGAGATTCTTTCTCTCCCTCTTCCTCTGTCCCTCCCCCCACCATTCATGCTCTCTCTCAAAAAAAATTTTAAAAAATAATCTACCTATCTAAAATAGCACACTCATACTCCCCAGTTAGTTCATTTGCCTATCCTTTACCTTTATTCATATTCATTACTACTTGCAACTGTTATATTTATTAAATAAATGTATATATGTACATATATATGCACACAAATACACATATGTTTTTATTTCCTTGTTTACTTTTATTTCTTCCATGAGAATGTAGCAGAATACCAACCTTATCTAGATCATTTCTCCAATGCCTACTTCAGTCCTTGGCAAAGAATAGGCTCTTGAATGAATGAGTACATTTTAAAGAAGGGAGAAAATGATATAAGTCTAAATTTTCAAAAATTCTAGAAAGGAATGGACTCTCAAGTTTATATAAAAGGGTTGTTGTCACTGGAGAAAAGGAAGAGCCCCTCCTTTGGCAGTGGGAAGGACTATCATAAAAGACCAAAAGGAAGAAGTAGGGATTAGGTGGGATTCCTTAGAGAGATTGTCCTGAAAAGCCCTTGCTTTTCTTTTCAAGTCAGAAGTTTTTTTTCCACATGACCTGGGCTCTGAAAGGCAGTATACCAATCAATAACTTCATAAAGCCTTCAGAGGAAAGAGTGAATGGGCAAGAGACAGTTTCATTCCAGGGACTTGAAGAGTCCAAAGAATAAAGTGATCATTACGTTGGAAAATCACTTGTTAAAGTTTTAACTGATATAGGCTGTCTCTTGTCTACAGGAAAAAAAAACAATAAACTTCTTAGACAATCACACGTTCTTCCTGAGCTCTTTTCCAATAAAAGGTGGTTATGGCACATTCATTCAATGTAAAATACAAAGTTCTTAAAATGTAATATTAAATTACAAAACACAAATAAAAGAATGTATTTGTTGTAATGGATTGTGTTGACCTGACTTGATCTACCCTATTACTATATAAATAATATAAGCTCTTCTCTTGTCAGAAAAACCATACATTTCTGCATCTATTTTTAAAAAATATTTTGAGCTCCTTTGGCAGATCTAAATTGTAACAATGCATAGCCTGTTTTTTTCTGACAATATTCCAAGTGTCTCAGAATTCAAATCTATCTCCTTGATTATCAAGGAAGACAGGAAGGAAGACAGACAGAAGATAGATAATTATACTTGCAGAATGGAGAAGCTATATATGCCCTCTGAAATACTACTATTTCCAGTAATTTAAAAACATTCTTTTCAGAATATTAACAGGCAATTCAGTTAATTACTTAAAAACAATCAGAAAAAGCAGCCATTCCATAGGTAAATCCTTAAATACTAGGGGTACATTTCCTTACCTACTAGTGACACCAAGTTACTATAGTTCTCCAACATCACATCTCTATACAAATCCCTTTGAGCAGAGTCCAGGTATTCCCACTCTTCCTGAGAGAAGTCAATGGCAACATCCCTGAACATCACTGATCTCTGAAACAACAAATATAATACTAGTTGTGGAAATAAAGAAAATATTTTTTCAATGGAAGGGAGATGATGGGGGAGCTCTCCACAAAGGAGGCAACAGAGCAAACAGCAAAAGGCCACTGACATAAATGAGACACTAAAGAAATCAATGCTTCTGACGTGTCAACATTCCTTTTATTCCTGTTGCTGTAGATATTTCCTGTATATAGAACATTTCATTATACAGATAAGTCTGGAACTTAAATAAAGAAGATGCAATGTCCCAATTAAAAGAAAAAGCACACACAGGCAACCTGTACAATACTGTATATTCACTCTTCAATTATGCTTGTAGCTTGTATATCATACATTCTCAATAAATGCAAGTTTCTCTTATTCTCTAAGAAATAAGAAAAATAACTGGGGAAGTTTTTCTACAAAATCTTATAAAATCTGTACCTTATAAGATTTGTATAAAATTAAAGAATTGATTGAAATCTCAGTTCATCATCGTATCAGAATATATCATACGCATTTTCCTCACCAATAATTTAGTATATATTTTTAATAGGCTGCAAAATAGCTCCATATAATGACTATGTCTGACTTACTAAGTGTGCATATTTGAGCATTTTAGCTTACATAAAAATCTCATAAGCATTTCTCACTTTTGGGAGTTTACAATTTTCAACAACTTTTGCATGTGAATGATGATCTTTCTTGTTACTATTTATCACTTATAAATGTAACTTTTCCTTGTTCTAAGCAACAAAAAGATAAGGATATATCTAAACTTATGCATACAAGATTAACTCATAATGTTGACTCTCAAAATTATCTATATTATTGCTTTATGTTAATTATGGATTCCCAGGGAAGATCCCTGATCTCTCTCAGTCTCTAATCATGTTCCTAATCAATCTTAAAAGCTCACAAAACATAAGCTTTTGCCAGGTATGGAGACTGAGTCCAGTCAAAACTAATAATATCGTCTAACCAGGAAACTGAGGTCTAAAGAAAAGTTCAAAGTTTTCTCATGTGTGGTGCAATTTAACAAACATCTCCATCTTATAAAATCAGGGAATCTGCTTTTGTCATATCAGTGCTCCTAGTCAGAGATGCTCAAAATATTTTTGAATAATTATGTTAGGTTAAATTAGACAAACTGGGGGAAGACTCTTATCACTTATAAGAATGAAATGCTGGGGAGCACATTCTTGAGTGGGATCAGTTAGGAAGGAAATTTCAGAAATAAGGAACGCAAACATACAAATACTCTGTAAAAAAGTGACTAAAGGGGTGCCTGGGTAGCTCAGTCATTAAGCGCCTGCCTTTCGCTCAGGTCATGATCCCAGGGTCCTGGGACTGAGCCCCGCATCGGGCTCCCTGCTCGGTGGGAAGCCTGCTTCTCCCTCTCCCACTCCCCCTGCTTGTGTTCCTGTTCTCGCTGTGTCTCTGTCAAATAGATAAATAAAATCTTAAAAAAAAAAAGTGACTAGAGCACAAAAAAACACCAATTTACCTGAGCCATGGTTTTTAGCGCTGCAAGAAATGATCAATCCTCCTCTGGGTTCCTAGCTTAGAGAAGCACAGAGCCTGAAAAAGGCAGAGCTGGAGAGAAGAAAACAGAACCATGAGACCATGCTTTTTGCAAAGTTCCAAATAAGTAAGTTAGAATTGTCTTTCTTGCTCTCCTCTTCTGTCTCTTGCTCTCATCACCAAAAGACACTGTGCGGGAGAAACACAGGTGGTGGTTATTATCCTGATCAAACTCAATGCTCTCTATATACAAAAAGATAATATTTACGACAATTTCTCTACCATTTCTGAAATAAAATATATAGATAATATGACACATTTATATACATTACGCCAAAAACAGAGATAATGACCAACTGTTACACAAATTAAAAGGCACAACTAATTAAACACTTATGCTTACAACTATTTACAAAAATTCAGATTTATAAGATGACAATATTCAGGTAAGCATTTTTTTAAGTTCTATTTTTAAATTTTTAATTCCAGTATAACTGTTTAACATACAGTGTTATATTAATTTCAAGTGTACAATATACTGATTAAACAATTCTATATATTACTCTGTGCTCATCATGGTAAGTGTACTCTTAATCGCCTTCACCTACTTCACACATAATCCCACCCACCTCACCTCTAATAACCAACAGTTTGTTCTCTATAGTTAAGAGCCTGTTTCTTGGTTTCTCTCTTTTCTTCTTTGTTTTGTTTCTTAAATTCCACATGAGTGAAATCATACGGTATTTGCCTTTCTCTGACTAATTTCATTTAGCATTATACTCTCTAAATCCATCCATGTTGTTGTAAATGGCAATATTTCATTCTTTCTTAATGGCTGAGTAATACTCCATTTTATATATATGTACATATACCACCTCTTCTTTATCCACTCATCTATCAATGGACACTTGGGCTGTTTTCATAATTTGGCTATTATTAATAATGCTGCACTAAACCTAGGGGTGCATGTATCTTGTCAAATTAGTGTTTTCATATTCTTTGGGTAAATACCAGTAGTGGAATTACTGGATAATATGGTAGTATCTTGGCTATTGTAAATAATGCTGCTATAAATATAGGAGTACATGTATCCCTTTAAATTAGTGTTTTGGTATTCTTTGGGTAAATACCCAGTTTTGCGATTGCTGGATCGTAGGGTAGTTTTTTTTTTTTTTTAATTAACATATAATGTATTATTTGTTTCAGGGGTATAGGTCTGTGATTCATCAGTCTTACACAACACCCAGCGCTCACCACAACACATACTCTCCCCAATGTCCTTTACTCAGCCACCCCATCCCCCACCCCCCTCCCCTCCAGCAACCCTCAGTTTGTTTCCTAAGATTAAGAGTCTGGATTGTAGGGTAGTTCTATTTGTAACTTTTTAAGGAACCTCCATACTGTTTTCCAGAGTGGCTGCACCAGTTTGCATTCCCACCAACAGTGCACGAGGGTTCCTTTTTCTCCACATCCTCGCTGTTTTTGATTTTAGCCATTCTGACAGGTGTGAGGTGATATCTCAGTGTGGTTTTGATTTGCATTTCCCTGATGATGAGCATCTCTTCATGTGTCTGTTCACCATCTGTAAGTCTTCTTTGGAGAAATGTCTGTTCATGTCTTATGACCATTTTTTAATCAGACTATTCAGTTTTTCTGCTGGATTAAGTTTAAGTTCTTCATATATTTTGGATACTAACCCTTTATCAGATATGTCATTTGCAAATATCTTCTCACATTCAGTAGACTGTCTTTTAGTTTTGGTAAGTGTTTCCTTGGCTATACAGAAGCTTTTTATTTTGAAGTAATCTCAATATTTTATTTTGGCTTTTGTTTCCCCTGTCTCAGGAAACATTTAAAAGTGTGTAGCTATGGCTGATGTCAGAGTAATTACTGTCTGTGCTCTCTTCTATGATTTTTATGGTTTCAGGTCTCACATTTAGGTTCTTAACTGATTTTTAAATTTTTGTGTATGATGTAAGACAGTGGTCCAGTTTCATTCTTTTGTATGCAGCTGTCCAATTTTCCAAGCACCATTTGTTGAAGAGACTTTTTTCATTGCATATTCTTGCCTCCTTTGTCAAGACTAATTGACCATATAATCGTGGGTTTATATCTGGGCCCTCTATTCAGTTCCACTGATATGTCTGTTTTTCTGCCGGTATCACACTATGTAGATTACTACAGCTTTGTAGTATATATTGAAATCCAGAATTGTGATACCTCCATCTTTGTTCTTCTTGCTCAAGATTGCTTTGGCTAATGGAGGTCTTTTGTGGTTCCTTATAAATCTGAGGATTTATAATCTAGTTTATAATTTATAAACTAGTTCTGTGAAAAATGCTGTTGGTATTTTGATAGGGATTACATTAAATCTGTAGATTGGGGATGTTGGGTGGCTGGGTGGCCCAGTCGGGTGGGTGGCTCAGTCGGTTGAGCGTATGACTCTTGACTTTGGCTCAGGTCATGATCTAAAGTCCTGGGTGGAGCCCCAAATCAGGCTCCATGCTCAGTGGGGAGTCTGTTTGAGGATTCTCCCTCTCCCTCTGCCCCCCTCCAGCTTGTGTACTCTCTCAAATAAATAAATAAATCTTTTTAAAAAATCTGTAGATTGCTCTGGACAGTATGGACACCTTAACAATATTTGTACTTCCAATTCATGAGCATGGAATATCTTTCCATCTGTGTTGTCTTCAATTTCTTTCATCAATTTTAAGTTTTCAGGGTACAGATCTGTCACCTCCTTGGTGAAGGTTTTTCCTAGATATTTTATTCATTTTGGTGCAATTGTAAATGGGACTGTTTTCTTCCCTTTCTGCTGCTTCATTATTAGTGTACAGAAATGCAACAGATTTCTGTATAGATTTTGTATCCTGTGACTTTACTAAACTCATTTATCAGTTCTAGTAATTTTTTGGTGGAGTCTTCCAGGTTTTCTATATATACCATGTCATCTGTAAATAGTGAAAGTTTTACTTCTTCCTTGCCAATTTGGATGTCTTTTATTTCTTTTTGTTGTCTGACTGCTGTGGCTAGGACTTCCAGTACTATGTTGAATGAAAGTGATGAGAGCGAACATCCTTATCTTATTCCTGATCTCACAGGAAAAGTTCCCAGTTTTTGCCATTGAGTATGATGTTAGGTGTGGGTTTTTCACGTTTGGCCTTTATTACGTTAAGTATTATTCCCTCTAACCCTACTTTGTTGAGGGTTTTTAACATGAACGGGTGTTGTATTTTGTCAGATGCTTTCTCTGCGTCTATTGAAATGATTATATGGTGTTCATCCTTGGTCTTATTGATGTGATGTGTAACACTGATTAATTTGTGAATATTGAACAACCCTTGAATCCCAGGAATAAATCCCAGTTGATCATGGTAAATGATTTTTCTAATGTATTGTTGGATCCAGTTTGCTAGTATTTTGTTGAATTTTACATCTATGTTCAATAGAAATATTAGCCTGTAGTTCTTTTTTTTTTTAATGGTGTCTTTATCTGGTTTTGGTATCAGGGTAATGCTGGCCTCATAGAATGAATTTGGAAGTTTTCCTTCCTCTTCTGTGTTTTGGGGTAGTTTAAGAAGAACAGGTATTAACTCTTCTTTAAATGTTTGGTAGAATTTACCTGTGAAGCCATCTGGTCCTGGACTTTTGTTTGTTGGGAGTTTTTTGACTACTGATTCAATTTCATTGTTAGTAATTGGGTCTATTCAAATTTTGTTTCTTCCTGATTCAGTTTTGGGAGGTTTTATGTTTCTAGGAATTTCTCAATTTCTTCTAGGTTGTCCAATTTGTTGGCATATAATTTTTCATAATGTTCTCTTACACTTTTTTTTTTTAAGATTTTATTTATTTATTTGAGAGAGAGAATGAGAGAGAGAGAGAGAGCACATGAAAGCGGAGAGGGTCAGAGGAAGAAGCAGACTCCCTGCTGAACAGGGAGCCTGATGCGGGACTTGATCCTGGTACTCCAGGATCATGACCTGAGCCGAAGGCAGTCGCTTAACCAACTGAGCCACCCAGGCGCCCCTCTTACACTTCTTTGTATTTCTATGGTGTCAATTATTTCTCCTCTTTCATTTCCGATTTTGTTGAGTCTTCTCATTTTTTTCTTTCTGATGAGTCTAAATGTTTATTAGTTTTGTTGATCTTTTCAAAGAACCAGCTTCTAGTTTCACTGATCTGTTCTATTGATTTTTTTAGTTTCTATTTCATTTATTTGTGTTCTCATCTTTATTATTTCCTTCCTTCTACTGGCTTTGTTTGTTCTTTTTCTAGCTGTGTTAGGTGTAACTTAGATTTTTTATTTAAGATTTTTCTTGCTTCTTGAGTTAGGCCTGTATTGCTATAAACTTCCCTCTTAGAACAGCTTTTGCTGCATCACAAAGATTTTGGATCATTGTATTTTCATTTTCATTTGTCCCCATGTGTTTTTTTATTTCCTCTTTGATTTCTTGCTTGACCCATCCATTGTTTAGTAGCATGTTATCTAATCTCCACATATTTGTGCTATTTCCAGATTTTTTTCCTATGGTTGATATCTAGTTTAATAGCATTGTGGTTAGAAAAATTGCATGGTATGACTTCAATCTTTTTAATTTGTTGAGACTTGTTTTGGGGCCTAGTATGTCATCTATTCTGGAGAATACTCCTTGTGCACTTGAAAAGAAGTATATTCTGCTGTTTTAGGATGGAATGTTCTGAATGTATTATTTGATCCATCTGGTCCAATGTGTCTTTCAAAGCCAATGTTTCCTTGTTGGTTTTCTTTTGGATGATCTATTGATTTAAGTGGGATGGTAAAGTCTCCTATTACTGTATTACTATCAATTACTTCCTTTTCCTTTATGTTTGTTATTAGCTGCTTTATGTATTTGGGTGTCCCCAAGTTTGGTGCATAAGTATTTACAACTGGTATATATTCTTGTTGGATTGTTCCTTTTATCATTAGTGTCCTTTGTCTCTTGTCACAGTCTTTGTTGTTTTAATGTCTATTTTGTCCTATTAAGTATTACTACCCCAGTGTTCTTTTCACTTCCATTTGTATGACAGTTTTTCTATCCCTTCACTTAAAA